TTTAATCCCAGCACTTGGGAGGCAGAGGCAGGTGGATCTTTGTGAGTTTGAGGCCAGCCTGGTCTATGTAGTGAGTTCCAGGACAGGTGGGGCTACAAGGAGACCCTTTCTCAAAGACAAAAAAAAAGGCCTCTCTTTGAAATAATAAAAATATTCTTAAAAAGTAAAAATAAAAAGACATGGTGACAGGGAGAAATCCCTCTCCCTCTCTAGAATAATAGTAAAATAATGATAATAATAGTAAATTCTGTATAATCAATCCTCAAAGCATGCTTTTGTTCATTAAAAATGTGTGTGTGTGTGTGTGTGTGTGCATGCGTGCATCTGTCTGTCTCTGTGTGTGGGCAGTGGAACAATAGACAACTTTGTGGATTTGATTCTCACTTACCTTTAAGTGGGTTCTGGGGATCCAACTCTGGTTGCTAAGCACCTTTACTTACTGAGCCACCTCACCATACCATTTGCTCATTTTTATCAAGATTTTGTATCTGTAGCCAACCTATAATTGCAACTGATCAAAAAGTATAGTCCTAGGGGCTGGAGAGATGGCTCAGTAGTTAAGGGCACTGGCTGCTCTTACAGAGGACCAGGGTTTGATTTCCAACACTTCAATGGTAGCTAACAACTGTCTATAATTCCAGTCTCAGAGGATCCAACATTATCTTCTGGCCTCTGCAGGCACTGGATGACATGGGTGCACTTCCATGCATGCAGGCAAAACACACACATAAACATAAATAAAAAAAATTTTTTCACATATAGTACTGACATGAAGGCTGGTGTTTTCTCATTAATGAGTAATGTAAACGTTAAGACAACTTTGTGTGTCAAAGTGTCGATTGGATAAACTGAGTGATACTTTTCAAACAGCTGGAAATAACAGAACATTTCTGCATGTGTCTGTGATAGCTACAGAGACAACTTTTAGACTGTATTGATATTTTCTTCTCACTGAAGTCCAAATAAATAGCAAAACAGTGATGTGGTAAAAAACATAGAAAATGGTGGGATTTGAGCATTACCTTTGCTTTTGATATAACTTAATGGTAAGCTATATAATGACTGCTGTAAACTGAGAATGTAGCAATCAGTTCAGAAGCCAGCATCTACAGTCAATTTTATCCCTTACATAAAATTTTTTAAATAAGGAAAAAGTAAAAATATACAATATGTCATGAATTCTCAGGGTAAAATCTACTAAAGTCTGTTCTACCTTTTCCCATTTTTTCAGTGCTGGGAATAGAGCCCAGAGCCTTGTACACACCAGGCATCTACTCTACCACTGAGCTATACCCCCAGCCCACTCCTTAACATGACAGTATGGTAAACATGTGACCACAAAGGAAAACGCCAGCTGTATGCTCCCATTTTAGAAGCAGGCTTAGGGGTGCATGTTTGGAAACAACGCCATAGGTGACGACTTGCAAAGTGACAGAAACAGGACCTCAATCCCTGCCCAAGGGCTTCTAACAAAAACTCAAACCAGGCTTTATTCCAAAACTGTGAATATGTTTATGTGTGGTATATATGTGTATGCAGATGCACTTGCCCATGTGGGCACATGTATAAGACAGAGGATGACACTGGGATGTCTTCCTCAATCACTTCTCCACCTTAACTTCTTGAGACAGACTTTCTCTTCGAAACTAGAGCTTAATGATTCAGCTTGACTGGCTAGCCAGTGAGCCCCTGGGATCTACCTGCCTCTGCCCTGTGTTGAGTGCTGGGATTATAGGTGTGCACAGCCATATCCAGCTTTGACCTGACTGCTAAGGATCTGAACTCAGTTCCTCATGCTTGAGCAGCAAGCACTGTATCAACTGAGCCATTTCCCCAATTCCACCAAAAATATTTTTAATTGCAACATCCATAATAATGGCCTACTGTAATTTGTTATACCAAAACTGGAAGCTAGTAACTCAGTTAAAAACAACCACAGCAGTATTATCAAAGACTATGGTAAGAAACTGATTATCTCAGTGTGCTTTTTTTTTTTGGTTTCGTATTTGTTTCTTTTCCCTGTAGAAAAACTTAGTAAGACTTCAACATCAAAAGGAAAAGCATTTTTTCTCCTGGAACCCTAGAATATTGCAAATGTGTTCTCCAGAGGCAAGCACCTCCCAGAGCTCCTCTTCATAAGATGCACTCTGGAGGGAGGAATGGTCAGCCTGAAGCACAGCCTGAGGTAGCTCAGTGTGTGTGCCATTAATAAACAGCAGCAGCCTCGCTGCTTCTCCCCAGCACTCAGCCCAGTGCTGTGGAACTCGTATACTCTATAATTTCCCAGACAAGGGCATTTTGAAAAGAAGCACAAGTTTAAAGCAAATGTTAGAAAGCAGCCAGTGCCCCACAGTTACATAGCTGGAGGAAGTCTGGCAAAAACAGATCAGAAGTTTCCAGGTGCCACTCACTGTTTGAATTAACCATAGACATGCTAGAAAGCAGGCGCAGGAAACCGCAACATAATTAGGACATGATTAAATATTTTAAGATTTTAACTGGCCATTATTCAAGCAGAATTTAGGCTTCCTGAGCCTATCATTGTTCTGTTTTAATTCACTTGACACTATGTACTTAGAAATCTTATGATACTGGTCCTTGTAAAATGTAATTTGGATGCCATAGAAAAGCTCCTGGACTGGGAGGAATTATGAAAGGGTGTGTGAAGGGTGTTACTAAGGAATCTCACCAAGGCAATTAGAAGGAAAGTCTTAGGAATAAATATTTACAAGGCTTTTCTGGGGCACAACTTTAGCCTTTTAACTTTATAACTTTTAGAAATGTGAAAGAAATGCTGTTTTTGCCATACACTGAGGAACACATCCTCATCTTGTAAGTACAACTGAAAAACTGAGGAAATGTAACTGGTAAGGCACTATCGTAGTATCCGCTGTTTTCTTGTTAATGAATCTCCGCCCTGCACCTGATGCTAGGACCATGTCCCTGTGCTCTCTTCTGGATTCAGACACAGGCCTGGTTAGAGATGCCTGCATCCAAGCATGCATATGTGCACTTGTCTTAGTTTCATTTCTGTTGCTGTGATAAAATACCCCGACAAAAGGCAACTTTGCAGAGAAAGGATTTGGCTTACAATTCCAGGTTACAGTCCATTACTGAGGGGAAGTCAAGGCAAGAACTCAAGCAGTTAGTCATATCATACCCAGTCAAGGGCAAAAAGAGAATATATGTATCCTTGCTCGCTTGCCTACATCTGCCAACTTTCTTCTCTCTTGTACTGTTCAGGAACCTCTGCCTAGGGAATGGTGTCACCAGCAATGAGCTGGGTCAACCTACTTCAATTAACAATCAAGACAATCCCCCCCAGATATGCCCGCAGGCCAATGTGATCTAGATAATTCTTTATTAAGACTCTCTTCCCAGGTGACTCTAGGTTGTGTCAAGTTGACATTAGGTAAAACCAACCTGCACTTTGCTCATAATGATTGACAGCTTTATATTTGGTCCTCTAACTGCAGCAGCACAATTGGCCATTCCCTAGACTGAGGGAGCAAACACAGCATGGCCCCTAGCACTGTGGGTGCCACGTGGCCCTCTTCAGCCAGGCAGGTCTTTCTGCTGGTTCTGCTGGGCATTTGGCAGTACTCTGCCCCTCACATCGTAGTATGCTAACATATTTTAGATAAATCTACTTAGATTAAGCAAATATGTGCCTCAAACTCTAGTTTTCCGAATGGAATACCCAATGTATGGGAAGAGATTAGAAAAATCCAAATGCAGTGACTTTATGCAGTGATTTTATTCTAAATACTATGCCCCACCACATCAATATATTATTCCCAAAAGAAACCAAGAAGAAAAAGAAAAATCTATTTTAAGATCAGATGAAAATATCAAAGACCTAGTATTACTTCAGGGTTGTTGATGTAATGTAAGTTTCGACAGGCTCAGCTTGGGCAGCTTGGGGTGGAAAAATCCACTTTTTCTTCATAACTCATTATCATTATCTAATTTTAGCCATAATGAAAAATTTAAAAGAATTCTAAAGAAACATTACATTATGCTCATGGGATTATATAAGCATTAGATGCACCAGGATTGAAAAGCATGAGTTTTTACTGTCAGTCATCACGAACTCACCACTGATACATGGTCAAAGTTTTTAACTCTGAGTTCATTTCCTAGCACAGAAGTGTTCTTTGATGCACTTTCTGTTGGAGAGCTCCTTCCACTGCACAAACATGGTCCTGTAACAATCATCTTCTGTAGCATGGATGTGTCAATTAAAAGCTATGTCTGTACACAGAGCAGCTCGAAGACACTACCAGCAGTTCACTGCTAATTACCAGGGTAAACATTTGTACTTTAAAGCTGACAAACAGGATAACAACTCAAAGCCCCATGAGTTCTAAAAAGATTTTGTCCTGACAAAAGATACCTCGGTATGTGACCCTCACCCATCTATGGTTAACGGTCAAAGAAAATACTTCTTAGAGGCACAAGTGCCATGGGCAGTGGCTCCCATAAATCCTCTCAAAAGCCAGTCCCCACACAGTGTCCAGGGATACTATTCCAGGCAGCCAGTTATTTCTGATTCACAGTTTCCTTGGCAAACAAGGGGCTTCAGACACCCTAGCAGGAGCTCCTAACTGATGCTTCATGCAATCTCTCCACACCAATATATTTTTACTTGGAAAGCTGATGAAGACAGGAAGCTGATCACAAGCAAGCTCCCTGAAGGAGGGAAAATGGCTTATGAACATAAACACCTTCTAGCCCTGGGCTACTCGCCCTGAGAATTGGCTTCACTGTGGGACAGTTACTTACAATGCACCCTGTGCCTAATCCCCCAAAAAACTGATGAAAATGGTCAGAGGGGAATTCCAAAGTACCTGTACCTTTGATCTTGCTCTAGAAACACAGGCTGCTAATAAAAATAAAGCCAATTTAGAAACGAAAAAGTAGATGCTGCTCAAATTTGAAGGCCATTAGCAGTGTAAGAAAACTATTAGCTATAGCAGATGTAAATTCCTCATAGTTAATCATTTTTGATCAGCTTTAATAGACTGCAAATCAAACAGGCTAAAGCCTTAATGATGTCATAATGTTCATTAATAGGAAATCCTGAGTACAGAAGATCTATGCATTCCCTAATCACTTCCACTTTATGAACTGGTTTGAAAAATCAAAGAATTTCTCTTTTTGAAGAACAAAGTTTTAAAAAAGGGATTATTACAAATTCTTCAAGGACCCATCAAACGTTTTAATCTATTTAATCCACATACAGAAGATCAGATTCTGCTCCAACATAATTTCTATATTTTTTTAACCTTTTCACTCACAAATTCAAGCTGACAATGACATCAAGAATATCCACAACATTAGGGGAGGGGGGATATGATCACAATATAATAATAAGTTGCATGCATGGATGACATTCTCAAGAAATTAACAAAAATATTTTTTTTAAAAAACCCACAGGAAAAAACTAGAATAAAGTTATGCTAAATGCTGCATTCAAGTGGGTATTTCTCCTCTCTGTGTTTTACAAATGTCCTATTCTATGGCTACATCATTTTCATAATAAAAACCTGGAAATGAAGACAATTCAAGGTTACCAAATTTAGTTGACTATAAAATAATTCTCAAACAAATAGGCAGAAAGGAGAGACATTCAACTAAGATCAAGAAGATGCTGTCTGGAAAGGTTCCTTAGGCTCAGGGGAAGTTTAAAGACAAGCCCATCAGTAGTATTTCCTGGCAGCACTGTCCTTGGAGACAGAGAGCAGCCGGAGCCCCCTTCCCGGAGGCACCATGGACTCAAACCAAGGCATGTGCGGCAAAAACTGAATTTTTCCACGTTTATTAGCCTATGTGCCTGGGGAATCTCAGAGCACTTTTGAAATCTGCTCTTGATTCAGTTTCAGGAGAGGAAAGTGAGACTCTTCCATAAACACCACAATGAACAAGAAACAGTGGCCACACTGGCAAGAGAAGCTATGGTGGGTGACCACACCGACTCGCCAGCATTCTGTTACCCACTGGCATAGGGAAAGGGCAGGTAATATCTGTATGCATGCAGGGCTGGGCATCAAGCCGAGAGCCCTACACATACTAGGTAAGCACACGACCTCTAAGCAACACCCTCAGTCCAACCTTTGTTTTACAGATTATATTTCATAAATTTAACTATATTCATTTAAGAAACTACAGTTATATCCATGAGACTATGAACATCCCACTCACTACTGGCAGCCCACAAAGGGGACTCTCCATATCCTTTTAGGAGGTTGTTTGGGGCAATAAATGCAAATTTTGTACTTAAAACAAATGTGTATCTCATAAGATAAAAATTTAAAGCTCACTTCTTCAATGTTCCCATAGACACTGCACAACAATAAATTCACACAGAAAGAGTATGAATGCTGACTGTACAGGTTTATGAAAATAGATATCTCTCAGTGAGAATTTCAGAGTCCATACCTCAAGAAATCACAGTTTCTCATGTTTGTAATCCTTGCACTCAGGAAATGAAGGCAGAGGATCCTAGAGTTGAAGGCCAGCACGGATTACATAGGGAAGTCAAAAAAGATTTTTTAATAATAATAAAAATAAAGGAAAGAAATCATAGCCTGTACCCAACAGGCTAATGCAGCTTCCTTGCTTGATCTCTGAGTGGCATCCTTAGCTCCATCCAAGGTGTCCGGAGGTTGTGCATCTGTGTAGTCCCACGGGTCCTCGGGCAGGGTCACAGCTGCTGGCTGGTGAAGAAGGATTTAGTCTCCCTGCAGACAGGATTTACACAGAGCGGGCAGCTCAGAGTCAACTGCTTGGAGCACATCTTGTTTGACTGGATATGCGAGTGTACCAAATCAGCCAGGGCCTGCAAGACACACGGCACACAGAGCCATCGGCAGTGAGAAGTCTGCCGATCCCGGGTGCATGCCCTCTGCTCATCTGCTGGGATAATTGCTCTGGTTTGGGGTTTCTTTTAATCTGAGTTTGAAGCCCTTGAACAGAATTCAGTAACATCCTCCTTCCTGAGCCTCTTCAGCGTACACAAAGTGAAAACAGAGATTTTGGGAAATAAATCCTCTTACCCCACACCCACTCCACCTTTCTCTGAAAAGCAGACTTGAAATCAGACAGAGGTGGGCAAAATAAGAAAACTGGGGCTACCTAAAGGAAAAGGGGGGAGCAGATAAGGAATTCGATCTTATTTTTGTAATTAATTGGAACTCCAAATGTACTAATATGTGAGAAAACCAATATTCTGCAAGAGTTTCTCAGAGGATTACTCCCGGTATGTTCTACTAAAATGGTTGTAACACTCCAGTGTTAGATACCTTAGAGAACAATGGATTTCCATTAAGAGACTCTGCTCTCCGGATCTTTTCAGCTCCACACTGAATCAAATGAGTATGGGGAACAAAAACACAAGACACATTTTATTTTCCTTAGAAAAAAAAAAAAGCTGAGTGCTACAAAAGAATAAACACACAGGCGCACACATACACAACTCAGTCTGAGCTTGACTGGTCACAGACTGTTCACAAATGACAATCATGTGGGCTGATTCTGTTACCAGAAATTGCTCTTCCATGGCTGTGTCCTTCCCACAGGTGGTCTGCTTCCAAACCGCACCCATCCTATATGGAATTCTCAAAAGTAATTTAGGTCCACTTATTCTTTTTCTTACTCTATTTTTCTAATGCATATCTTATAGACTCTACTTAAGTAAAAAAAAAATACTGTTTTAATTAAGTATAATTTCCTAATTGCTTTGATCCCAAGTGCCAAAATAAAGGAAATTAATTTATGGACTCTAAAACATATTGGATCTAAACTGGATTTGATGTGGACCTGAGTTTTAACATAAATTCTGGCAGAAAAAAAAATCTAAGGAAAAAAATCTGAGCTTTGTTTAGTATCATCCTTTTCCCCTCTCCAAAAACATTCAGTCAATTATCTCCAGTCACTGAGAACTGTCTAACTCCGATCTGCTCAGCAGCTGGAGTCTTCTCTTTCCTTCCTGCTCACGGCCAGTTGCTTTATCTTTTACACTGGCGCTCGCTACCACAAGCAGAGCACACAGGAAACACATTGAGATTCAGCAAACGCCTCAGCTCTGTCCAAAAAATCATGAAGGAAAATGCAAGCCAACAGTGAACCTGTCCTCAGAAAACTATTGGAAAAATGAAAATATTTATAATCAAGCAGTAAATGATAGTAAAAATGCCTTAAAATAATATTAATCAAGGATTTGTTAAAGTAACTATAAAGACATAATTTATCTACTGATTTATGTCCAAAATGTTTTTATGAAAGAAACAAAGATTATGAAACAGTATAAATATCATTTTGTTAAACATCGAAAGGTGATTTTGTACGAAAATACAGACATTTAGGAGAAAAAGGAAGCTCTTGTCAAGAAACTCCAATGGACTCTCATATGAACATTTGAAAAGTGCCCTGTTCTGACTTTTTTCTAGTTCCCTATCTAGAACTTGTAATGCTAATTACTCTTGCCTTTACTTTTCCTTCACATCTCCTATTCATGATTCAAGGACATTCTTCTCCCCTTAGAGACAATGGTTATACAATTTGGGAGTCTTTTAGATAGACCACTGCAGGGGTACTCCAACTGACTCACCCTGTGTCCCTGTTCAGCATGAAAGAAGCCAGAGCAGTCTGTGTC